TTTTTTTTTTTTTTGGACTGCTAGGGTAGGTGATATGAGCAGCCTTCCCCTAGCAGTCCTGCTATTGCACGCTCCATCTATTGGTGGTGGGGACCTCCACCACCTGCTGGAAAAGCGGGTCCAGCGTCCCTTGAGTACATGTGCCGAATTGAGTGATTGATTTTGGTAACCACTCTAACTTCTTTTTTTTAATTTTTAATTTTATTTTTATTTTTATTTTTATTTTTATTTTATTTTTTATTATTTTTTATTATTTTTTATTTTATTTTATTTTATTTTATTTTATTTTTTATTTATTTATTTTGCACTCCAGTCTAACTTCTTGTTCCTCCTCTTGTTTTTTTCATGATTGGCAGACAAAAAACCAACCAAAGCCGCGCAGAGGATACCATACCCTTAACCTGCCCCGCTTGTACGCCAGGCACACTGCCCGACGAAAGGAGAGAATGAAGAAATTAGGCCAACACAAGTTGCACCAATGGGTGAAGATTGTTGACAGGCTATGCTGTCTTCTCTTGCTTATATCCTATATCATTGCGACAATCCGCATATTCCGAGGAAACATGTTCAAGAAGTGAGGGAACAAGAAAGAAGAATCATCTTTGAGAATGTGTCGAGATGATTTTTTTCAGAATAATTATGGAGAAAGAGGAGAGCGCAGCACAGGCATCTAGTGTCATCAGCACCGTAAAGAAAATTGTCTTCACTTCCCAAGGTTGTGATTCATTCACCATCATCATCTTGAGCTGCTCTCTTCAGCTTCGTCAAGTTGTATTTTGGCTGTGCCCCGCCCAAGGTAACCGTTCTTTTTCAGTCTCTCAGAAGAAGTTAGGTGGGTTGTCATTCTCCTAAAAAACACTCTCCCTAACTAATATCCCATCTCTCTTATGCACTGTCTATTAGCAAAAAAAACGAAGGATTCTGAACTTCAATTGACACATTGACTACGTTGTGGAAAACAGCGAACGAAATGCGGCTAACGGTTGAGGGCGAAGAAGCCCAAGTTAACAAAAGGACCGAAGGCAGTTTCGTCGGCGTGGAGCACACGCTTCGATTCCTGCCCAAAAAGCGAACGAGATGAGGATAACAGCGGCGATCTTGCAAGTATTGAGGGGGGAAGAAGCCCAAGTTAACAAACGGACCGAAGACAGTTTCGTCGGCGTGGAGCACACACTTCGATTCCTGCCCCAACTCTCCTCCTCTCCCCCCCCCCCCCCCCCCCCCCCCCCCCCCCCCCCCCCCCCCCCCCCCCCCCCCCCCCCCCCCCCCCCCCCCCCCCCCCCTCCTTCCCCCTGCTAGTATTTTCATGCCATTGTGTTGGCTGAATGTATAGCAGACTTCAAACTTCAATCTTCCAACATGTTCCGATCGTTAAACACTACCGGTTGAGGGTTTTGGAGATTTTGGAGGTGTTTGTACTTGTAGTGTGGAAGAGTAGCAAAGGTGGCTGTGTACGACGGGTATTGGGGTGCCACCCCAAAGCTGTGTACGACCGGTAGGGGGGTGCCATCCCAAAAGTTCTTCCTCGGTCTCTCAGAAGGTAGGTGGGTTGTCATTCTCCCAGGAGCCAATCTTAGTGTCTTTGTAATATCCCATCTCTGGTGTGGAGTCTATTAGCGGAGAAAGAAGGATTCTGAACGTCAGTGGAGACATGGACTACGGCGAAAAAGGGAGAAAGGAGGGGGGTAACAATGGTGATCTTGGATGTGTTGAGGGGAAGGAAGGCAAATGTGTTGAGGGGAAAGAAGGCAAAGGGACGACAAGGACGGAAGGCAGGGTCGGTGTGGAGCACAAGTCTTAGATTGGATTCCTGGCCCAACTTTCCATCCTGCTAGTAGTTTCATGATAACCTTGGCATGTTTCTTTTGCAATTTTCTGAATGATTTGATTGTTTTTTTTTGTAGAATCAATGTAGATTAGTATTTACTATTTTAGTATTTACTATTTTAGTATTTACTTTTTTTTTTTTTTTTTTGAGCGTCAGTGCAGTTCCTATTTCACCGGCAAGTCAAAAAAACAATTCACAGTATCAACAGACTCACGCATCCTTCCGTCTTTCAGCCGAAGGATCCCTGATCAGCATTGATTGCTCCAGTTGTATGGAGGATTGACTGTCAGCTTGCCTTGCTTCCACCTTTCCTCTTGGGTCTATCTAACTAGGACCTGTCATATTTATCTCGAAGCACAAGAAAGGGACAATCAAAGGGGGGACAATCAAAGGGACAGACAGTCTTCACATTTTTCCGCGCTTGTAGGTTCACAGCCTAATGCTTTTTTTTTTTTTTTTTTTTTTTTTTTTTTTTTGAATGCTATGATCCTTGTTTGGGCAAATAATATAGGACCACTTGAAGGACTTACATACTCAACTAAATTACGAGCTCTTCTGTAAATAAAGACTAGTTCTTTCCAAATCAATAAGCTTGCAAAATATGCAGATCATAAAGTTGGCTGTGTACTACCGTCTTCACCCGAATAGAACACCTGGTCATTATCGCCACATCTGGACTGACAGTTGAGCCAAATGCAGCTATAATGACCGGGCGTTCTATTCGGGCGACGCCGGTAGTGGGTCACCCGACGTTAATTATTTTGACCTGCCAAGGGGAGGGCCAACTTCATTTCCCTTTCTGTGAAGGCCAACTTCTCTTCTGCAAATTATCGCGATTATGACTGTTTGAACCTCTGGCTATAGGAAAGGACTGGATGTGGCATGCGGATGGGGAGCTGGGCTAAACTTGTGCAAGTAATGTATTTATCTCAAGTTAATATAAAGTTATATGATCTTAATTCTCTGTACTTTTGTTGGAATAATTCAGAGAAAATAAGTGAGCGTACCATCACATGACAAATTGTTATATATATCTCGTCAAACATGTCTAAAACAATACCTTAACTTATTCCAAGAGGCTCGCGACTCTTGCGAGAGCCAACGAACGCCTCCAGCGAGCATCTGGAGCCTCGCCGCAGAGTTGGAAACAAATATAGTAAACACAGCATGGTATAGACAATTTAGAGTTTTATGTATATATCATAAATATATATATAGGGTCACCAGCCCGTACATGCAGAGGTCCCCCCCGGGCCGACCTCCGTACGTACGGGCGTTCGGGGACCCGTTTGGGGTCCGAACCCAATGTTCAGGCCCCGCCAAAAAATATTTTGGGCCATAAAATTGAGTTTTTCATTCTTAATTTTTTTTGTGAGTTCGTTATGATGTGAGGTATATGCCTATATATTACGAGGTCCTTTTGCTAATCGATTAAAAATCTCCATTAAAAATCTCCAAAGATGGCGGCGTCAAAGTTTTTCTTCACTGTTTACTTTTTTTTCACTTTATTGCAGGGCCTAAACAATTTTATTATATTTTGAAACTTTTTTAATTTTTTTGGGGGGAATGGGGCCCAACATCCCTCACAAGAGTGCCACAGCTATCGAGTTGAGCAAGGCTCTCCGGCCAAGCAAAGCCCGAGCCACGGTATTTGAAAACAGCCCAACAAGCCTAAAAAAGGAAAAAGCTAACAAAACCCTAAGCATACTAATTAGAGAGGGAACCCTAATTTCAACGAGTTTTGTATTATGTGAAGTACACATCTGTAAAAAAAAAAAAAAAAAGTACACATGTAAATTTTCAGGGCATTTGGCTGCGCCAAGAAAAAAAATGAAAAATTGGCAGTGTCGAAAAGCTGTTTGCTCACTCACTCATTTTAATTCTTTTTTCAGTTTTTTTTTTTTCAATATTTTCCTAGGCTACCAGCCGGGCCGCCCGGGTCCCGGGTGGGCAGCCCATGCAAGGACCAGGGAAGGTCCTAGCCAAAAAAAAAAAAAAAAAAAAAAAAAAAAAAAAAACAAAAAAAAAAATTTTTTTTTCAAAAAAAAAAATTAATAAAATTTTTACTAAAAATAAAATTTTATTTTTTTTTTTTTTTTTTTTTTTTATTTATATAAAAATAAATTTTTTTATTTTTTTTAAATCTTTTTAATCACAGCCTAATGTTTTTTTTTTTTTTTTTTTTTTTTTTTTTTTTTT